CCCTACTATTCCCCACTCCCTCGTCACCTCGTCCCCACCATCCCCCACTCCGTCCCCTTGTCCTCCACACAATTCCCCACTCCCTCGTCCGATGCATTCCCAAATGATCTGATGTTCCCATCAGAAAATTGGGAACATCAAATGATCTGATGTTCCCATCAGAAAATTGGGAACATCAAATGATCTGATTTTCCCATCACTGAAATACAAGAAAAACAGTTAAAAATGAAATAAAAAACAGCGAAAAAATTACAAAATAAACTATGCTCACAAAATGAACTGTATGGTAAACAACACAGCTTAATTCCAAGGCAATGTCACACAAAATACTAAAATCAAAATGAAAATAAATTGAAATCTGCCTCGTAATTGGAGCTGCCTCATTTGGACCAATAGGCCTTCTGCAGTTACCTCTATTTTTATGTTCTTATGTTTCACCCCCCATTTATCCCTTATGTTTCCCTCCATGTTTTCACCTTTATTGTCTTATCACCTGACCCAGTGTGGGTATAAAATCAACCAGTCCTGAAAAATCTCTTCACTTGAGAATGAACCATGGAGGTTCGGAATGTTGTGCATATTGTATAAATAAGTGTAATACATCCTATAGTAATTCACCTCATTTCTTGACCTGGAAATTACGAAAATGTGTTTTGGAGAACTCCTATTTGAGCTAAGACCTGATGCTAAGAAAATAGTTAGAGGGATAGAAGCCCTAAATCAGAAAATAGTAAATACAGAATATGCGGTCATATTCAATGATATATATATATATGTATATATATATATATATATATATATATATATATATATATATATATATATATATATATATATTCGATTAGTCTTTCGCCCCTATACCCAGCTCCGACGATCGATTTGCACGTCAGAATCGCTACGGACCTCCACCAGAGTTTCCTCTGGCTTCATCCTGGATGGTGAACTATGGCCAGGTATAGTTCACCATCTTTCGGGTCCCAACATTAAGTTAAGATTAATAAAAAGCAGACGGAGAACCCTCTACAGCAATCAAGCGTTGTATACGCTTATATATATATATATATATATATATATATATATATATATATATATATATATATATATATATATATATATATATATATAGATAGATAGATAATGTGCGGAAAAACCACATTTCAAGATTTCAAGTACTGACCCTTCTTAGGATCCAACTACTCACCAGTTACCTAACTGCCGGGTATCAATTCACTACTATATGAACAGCGGCATTAGATGAAAGGAAACATGCCCAATCATTTGTGTCACGGTCGGGATTCCCGACCGTGAGTCGAGAACGACCCGCCACTGTGCTATGGAGAGCCAAGAATGTCAACATTACCTTAACATTCACTGTGCCGGAGAGCTTGTCCATCTCGCCCAGTATAGCGGAGCAGAGGGAGGACTTGCCGGCGCCGACGGTGCCGACGACGGCCACCAGGGCGCCCTCGGGTGCGGTGAAGTCGATGTCTCTCAGCGCCGGGCTCTCCTCCTCACCGCCGCCCCACGCGAACGTCCCATTCTTGATCACAACAGGACTCTCTGTACCAACACAAAGTGGAAATATGTATATGCTCCTACTTGTCGAATGTTGAAATATGCTACATATTGGTATGTGTGTGTATATCACGAAAATAAACACGTGATTAAAAATGTGACAGTGTCAGACCATGGAGGAAAATTGAAACAGGAATTTCCTTAAGTACTTTCATATATTAATACATCTTCAGAAGGAGTGAAGCAAATTCCTGTTTCAATTTTACTCCGTGGTCTGACACTTTCATATTGGTATGTATAGAGAATATGAAGAATTATACACTGTATCAGGTGCTGAACACAGCATATAGTGCTGTAACTCAATATGTCTCAAAACAGATATATTTGTTATATTAATTATGTATGACACAATGGCATTATGTATGACATTACCCATGGTTGAATTTTCAGGTCTCTAGCAGGCACTGTGGATGGACGTAGCTCCAGATCTGTGTCAACTCGATACCTTAAAACCCTGACTATCACTAGTCTCTCCACCACCACTCTCAACCTGTGTCACTCCTGGCATATCAGAGGCACAAGGGGAACCAGTGTTCGGGGATTCGTTTCCTCGCTCACGTCTTCCGCGTTTGACGTCTCGTTGATCACCCCTGACCTACTTAACCAGTCAGCACCAACGTTTTCGGCTCCGTTTATGTACACCACACGGAATGTAAACTGTTGAAGGAACAACACCCAGTGCATTATTCTAGGGTTTGTATTTTTTAGTGTCAATGTGGCTGAGCGGTTGGTGATCTACTTGAAACGTAAAGCATTTTCCGTAGAGATACTGGTAGAATTTCCTTACTCCCGCGGCAGCAGCAAGGAGTTCTTTTTCTACAGTGGAATACTTCTGCTCAGCATCGCTCAATTTATGACTGGAGTACTCAACTGGCCAGATTTCACCGTCGTACTCCTGCATGAGCACAGCACCAATTCCTGTATTTGAGGCATCTGTGCGGAGGATGTACTCCCTGATAGAATCTGGTAGTCTAATGATGGGTGCTTCAGTTTGCTTCCTCTTGAGCGTCGAAAATGCTGAGTTTTCCATCTTTGTCCATAGTACTCTAACAGGTGTATTCTTTTAGGTTAGGTTAGATAGCGGAGTTGCTATGGACGTGAATTTGGGGATGAAAGTTCTATAGTACCCTGTAAGTCCCAGGAATGACTTACCCGAGTCTTGGTGGCGGGCGGAGCGGCTTCTTCAATCTTAGTGATCTTCTCAGGCAGCGGCATGGTAAACCCTTCCCCTATCACAGGACCCAGGTACCTGACATCCTTACAACCCAACTCACATTTACTGGGTTTTGCAACTATTTGTACTTCTTGTAGTCTTGCGAACACCTGCCTTAGCAAGCTTAGATGTTCTTCCCACGTAGCAGAGTGGAGGGACACCTCGTCCACGAACACTTCTACTCCAATAATTCCCTCCAAGACCTTGCGCATAGTTCTGTGGAACACGGTAGGGGCGTTCACCAGTCCAAACAGGAGGACTGTGAACTGAAAGAAATCTTTGCTTGTCATGAAGGCAGTGCAGCACTTACTGTCTTCATCTAGTGGAATTTGCCAGAATCCTTTTGTCAGGTCAAGCTTGGAGAAATAGCAAGTGGAAGAAAACCTCGAGAAGATCTCATTTGGATTGAACATTGGTTCAGTATCAAACTCTATGATGGAGTTCAACTTCCGGAAGTCGTGGCAGATGCGCACACTTTCCCCAGGCTCTTTGACTCACACCATCGGACTTTAGTTCCGTGAGGTCGACTTCTCTATTACTGCCACGTTAATCATAGATCCCAGTTCTTCCCTCACCTGTGGTACAAGGTGATGAGGAACAGGATATGGTTTTGTGTGTACCGCTTGCTGCTCTAGCAAAGGTATGTGCTAACCTGTGCTACTTTAGTGATGTCAGAGAGTACCTCCTTGTACTCTGCTACCTTAACCTTCTAGCTGCTACTAGTCAAGTAACCTGATCGGCTTGATTATCAGACAGCTAATTATCAACATTAACATCTCGGTGTATCTCCAGCTGTTGTTGATTGAAGAGACACGATTGACCTACCTCCTCATCGTCGGTTATCACTGAGACACCGGCGATCGTTGCTGAGTGCAGCGGGTGGTCGATCAGTCCTGTCGATGTAGAGCCCAGTGGTCCTCTCCTGTTCTTATGACCAGCATGCTTCCTCGGCTTTGTGGATCCATCTACAGGCGCGTCCTCGTAACGCTTCAGCATGTTGACGTGGTACTTCTCCTTGGCACCATCGACGTCGAGCACATTGTTTAACGAGTGCGAGCACTCCACTACCGTAAATGGGCCCTTCCACTGCAGCAAAAGCTTGTTCCTGCTGGTGGGAAGCAACAAAAGTATCTTGGCACTTACACTTTTGCCTTTTAATCATACGTTTGGTTCTGTTATTCCTTTGCTTTGGCTGTCTGTTCCCAGGCCAGCTGATAGGTGTTTTCCAGTCATTCCCATAGATTGATGACGTACTCGAACGTCATCTTGGTTTCAGGGTGCAGTTATCACCTTCTCACAGGTTTCTTAGTACTTGTAGAAGGCCTTTAACTGTGCGGCCGTATAGAAGCTCAAAGGGTGAGAACCCTGTGCTAGCCACAACAACGTTCAAAAGCCTGGTTGACCAGTCCAGCAACGAGGAGGCCTGGGCGATGTTCGGGCCGCGAGGACGCTAAGCTCCGAAACCAGCACACGATAAGGAAGCCTGTTTCACCTCCCTGTAAGCAAACAACAAAGGGGTTCATGAACCTGGGCCACTCCCTAGGCTGTTCAATGCACATTCTCTTCAGCATCTTCTTGAGAGTGCTGTTGAAGCGTTTCACCAAACCATTTCCCACCGCATGGTACGTCGTGATGACGGATGCTCTCACTGTGAGCAAACGTCTGTCTTGGTGTTACGAACCCGGATCCAGCGTCCTAGCCTGGAGCAGTGACAAACACGCCATCTGTGGGTCAGCTCCCGAAACCCCCGCCAAACGAACGACGACACCTAGTGAGGACAGCGTGTACTGGCCTCGAGGACCAGTTTCCAGTCTGGTTCAGCGCTCAACACCGCCGCTCCTGACCTCTGGGGAGGTGGTGCTCCGAAGACAGCGCCATCTATGGAGTGGATATGTCGGGCGTTTGTATCTGAGCCTGTGAGTGTGGTGTATTAGTGTCCCGGTTATTAATGACGTGTCTGCTTACAGAGCCGACCTGGGACCACTGTGTTGAAGGTGTAGTCAGTCTACCCGAGGCAGCCAGTCTCCATACAGTGAAGTTTGCTGCAGCTTTTGTGACGTCGTCCCCCCCGGAAGAACACTGTGGTGTGTTAGCCTGCCATTGGAGTGGCAGTTAAAGGATTTACCCGGGACCGACGGTTTGCAGACGATAATCCACTGTGGTATTGAGGACAGGAGGGTGATTGGTGATATCACACGAGACTCCTGTCTAGGGCGTACCCCTTATATCGTTCGTGGAGTGGCCGTACCAGCCTTGGTGGCTCAGTACCTGCCAGCAGACCTGCTGGACGTCTTGGTCCATCATCTCACTGGTAAACTGCGTCCTTTGGTCGCTATGGATCCACTCAGGTATACAAGGGGACTGAAAACCCTACCAGTACTTCTGCTACTGTTGTCGCCTCGATGTTCTTCAGGGCAGCTGCTTCTGGGTACCATGTGGCGTGATCGACAATGGTCAGGATGTACTTACTGCCGTCCATTGCACTCGGTATGATCGGACCGACAAGATCAACGCTGACCAGCTTGAACAGCTGATCAATGATGGGAAAGGGCTGAAGTTTCCGGGCTTCACTCGTCCTCGATCAGTGGTGCGCTGACAGGTGTCACGCAAGCGAGAGTAACGCTGTATTTCCCCAGTCATCCCTGACCAGCAGAACACAGCTTGTATCTGCACACTGGTCTTCGCATAAACCATATGGGCTTCCATCAAAGCTTCGTGCCCCAGGCGGAACACAGCCAGTCTATGCTCCTGTGGAACAATGAGTTGGTCCCAAGTGTCATGGGGCGTCTCAACTCTGGGCACAAGTTTAACATTATGGTGCAAGTACGTTATATTTCTCGTGTTGGAAACTGTTTTCTTCTCAGCATACCCACATATCTGGGCTAGTATTGGGTCGCTCCCTTCGGCCTCAATAAACTCCTTTGAAGATAATGTCAAATGCTCCTTTGAATGTCTCGCAATTTCAAGTTTTTTTTTTTTTGCTTTTTGCTCTCTGACCTCATGGTAACAGCTGCCACGAGCGAGTTACATGTTAATGGAGTTGCTGCCACTTCAGCCCTAAGTCTTGCTGCTCCCTCCATTACTTCCCAGCTTGCCTTCTTTCCCTTTTTCTTCCCTTTGGTTTTCGGCTGGCGTGGGTGTGGTCACTTCCTGTGACATCACCCATGGCACCAGCGGACTGAAGGCGGCTTCTCCTAGCTCAGGCAGCCTCCTCTCACTCCCGTTTTCTTTGAGGGTGGACGAATATGTATATGATGATGACGATGATGATGTATAGTGCATAGACCCACACAAACACCTCTACTATCGTCTTAGCATAGACATTTGGGAATTGGATGTAGATGTGTCTACCTGTTTCACTACCTGGCATTACTAAGATTTTCCTCACCAAGTGGGTGTGGCGCCTTTGTCACAGAAGATTTTCGCCAATTTTCCATTAACACTTCCGTCCACCACCTCAAGTGGATCCTTTCCAATGTTGGGATGTTTCTCACCACTTGAGCTCCCGCCTGCTATGTTACCTGACTTCGGGTTTGCCTTGTAATCAACTGTCCGATGACCTGGCTTACCACAGTTGTAGCACTTGTACCCGTGTCACCTCAAGCACCTCAAGCACCTCAAGGTGTCTATTGGAGGAGTTTCCCTGCCCCCCCACCCCCCAGCACACCAGTCTTAGGCTTAGCTCCCTCGTCAGTACCTGTAGCATGATGCATCTTGTGCGGCTTCACCCCTTTCACCTGCCTCTTGGCCCCAGCTTACAGATCAGCTTGCTTGGCCGTAGACAGATTTGACACAACTTCCTACTCTTTGAGCTTGATGCTGAGAGACGATTCGCATGCTTCTAAGAACAGTTCGCGAATCATCAGTTGATAGAACTCTCTGCTCCCAGGATCAGTCTCCATGAGTTCACAGTAACGGTTTAGACTCGACTCTAACCGCTGTAATATTACCACATATGTCGCCCCCTTGTGCAATTGAGCCCTGCGGAAATTCTCTGGCATACGGCCTGAAGTGATGCCAAAACCGTTCAGCAGCGATGTTGTCAATACCTCGTAATTTCCCCGCTGGTACAAACCCCAAACTGTGGCAGATGATTAGTGCCCTACCAGTTATTGCTCCACTCCACCTTGACCTCCACCTTGACTCCACCTTGACCTTCACCTTGTCCCCACCTTGACCTCCACCTTGACCTCCACCTTGACCTCCACCTTGACCTTCACCTTGACCCCACCTTGACCTCCACCTTGACCTCCACCTTGACCTCCACCTTGACCTCCACCTTGACCTCCACCTTGACCTCCACCTTGACCCCACCTTGACCTCCACCTTGACCTCCACCTTGACCCCACCTTGACCTCCACCTTGACCTCCACCTTGACCCCACCTTGACCTCCACCTTGACCTCCACCTTGACCCCACCTTGACCTCCACCTTGGCCCCACCTTGACCCCACCTTGACCCCACCTTGACCAGCTAGCCAGTCACGAGTGTAAACTATAGTCACAGATCACTGGTGGAGGTCGCAAGCAAGGATGTAGCTGTCTCAACTCTCACAGGGGAACTATTTAACTTTTCCTATTGGGCTAAATTATTCAGTTTAAAAAGCAATTTGGTTGAAACATCGGAATTTTGAGCTTCAGGTAAATTACGGAATGTGTTCATGTAAGCCACAGAGAAACCTTTAGGGGCACGGAATATGACGGAAAACAAATAGTTAAAACCATAAATTAAGAAATCCCTCTCAGGATTTGGAATCCCTCTCAGGATTTGGAATCCCCCTCAGGATTTGGAATCCCCCTCAGGATTTGGAATCCCTCTCAGGATTTGGAATCCCTCTCAGGATTTGGAATCCCTCTCAGGATTTGGAATCCCCCTCAGGATTTGGAATCCCCCTCAGGATTTGGATTCCTCTCAGGATTTGCAAACATTGTAAAGTTTTCCATTGTTTAAGATCAAGTCTATATCATATTTAATTCTTTGCTAACAATTATTGTCGCCAAAAGTCAAGTAATCAAGGACTACCTCAGTAAAGAGAAGATAAAAAATTCATATCTTTTCTTAGACATTTCAAACAAGTCTTTAATCGATATTTTCGGCATTTCCGGTTGGTTCTTGTGTGAGGCTCCGGGAGTGTTGGCAACACTTCTGTGTAGAGAGATTACATGTTACCTTGAGGTAATATGTTGGGGTTACAACATTATACTGTATAATGTTACAACATTATACTGTATAATGTTACAACATTATACTGTATAATGTTACAACATTATACTGTATAATCTTACAACATTATACTGTATAATCCTACAACATTATACTGTATGATGTTTACACCAACTTACATCAGGGGAATATGTACAACTGTTGGGAGCAAATATCACAGTTGCAACTCACCCTCTGTGGCGTCCCTTGACACACTGTTCACGTCCACTCACCCTGTGTGGTGTCCCTTGACACACTGTTCACGTCCACTCACCCTCTGTGGTGTCCCTTGATACACTGTTCAGGTCCACTCACCCTCTGTGGCGTCCCTTGACACACTGTTCAGGTCCACTCACCCTCTGTGGCGTCCCTTGACACACTGTTCACGTCCACTCACCCTCTGTGGTGTCCCTTGATACACTGTTCAGGTCCACTCACCCTCTGTGGCGTCCCTTGACACACTGTTCAGGTCCACTCACCCTCTGTGGCGTCCCTTGACACACTGTTCACGTCCACTCACCCTCTGTGGTGTCCCTTGATACACTGTTCAGGTCCACTCACCCTCTGTGGCGTCCCTTGACACACTGTTCAGGTCCACTCACCCTCTGTGGCGTCCCTTGACACACTGTTCAGGTCCACTCACCCTCTGTGGCGTCCCTTGATACACTGTTCAGGTCCACTCACCCTCTGTGGCGTCCCTTGACACACTGTTCACGTCCACTCACCCTCTGTGGTGTCCCTTGATACACTGTTCAGGTCCACTCACCCTCTGTGGTGTCCCTTGATACACTGTTCAGGTCCACTCACCCTTCCCTTGACACACTGTTCAGGTCCACTCACCCTCTGTGGCGTCCCTTGACACACTGTTCAGGTGTGGCGTCCCTTGATACACTGTTCAGGTCCACTCACCCTCTGTGGCGTCCCTTGACACACTGTTCACGTCAGTGGGTCCACTCACCCTCTGTCCCTTGACACACTGTTCAGGTCCACTCACCACTCTGTGGCGTCCCTTGACACACTGTTCAGGTCCACTCACCCTCTGTGGGTCCCTTGACACACTGTTCAGGTCCACTCACCCTCTGTGGGTCCCTTGACACACTGTTCAGGTCCACTCACCCTGTGTGGCGTCCCTTGAAACACTGTTCAGGTCCACTCACCCTCTGTGGCGTCCCTTGATACACTGTTCACGTCCACTCACCCTGTGTGGCGTCCCTTGATACACTGTTCAGGTCCACTCACCCTCTGTGACGTCCCTTGACACACTGTTCAGGTCCACTCACCCTCTGTGGCGTCCCTTGACACACTGTTCAGGTCCACTCACCCTCTGTGGCGTCCCTTGACACACTGTTCACGTCCACTCACCCTGTGTGGCGTCCCTTGATACACTGTTCACGTCCACTCACCCTTTGTGGCGTCCCTTGATACACTGTTCACGTCCACTCACCCTCTGTGACGTCCCTTGACACACTGTTCAGGTCCACTCACCCTCTGTGGTGTCCCTTGATACACTGTTCACGTCCACTCACCCTGTGTGGCGTCCCTTGATACACTGTTCACGTCCACTCACCCTGTGTGGCGTCCCTTGATACACTGTTCAGGTCCAGTTCGTCAGCGTTGAGGAACTTATTCAGTCTCTTCAAGGAAACATTGGCCTTGAAAATAGAGAAGCAATTCATTAAAATATACAGTCAGGTCTTTGCTTCACTAATACAAATATTTTTTCAGTAAAATATTATGAAAGAAGTTCAAGATTAAAAGTTTACCATCTTACTATAATCAATATTTAAAATATATAATAATTTAAACAAGTAATTAATAAAGGAATTTTTTGTTTACCCAATCGACTTGACATATATGTACATCTTCACAAAATAGAAGACAAAATGAGAGTTCTTGTGCGTGCAGACTGCGCCAAATTACCAGAACATGTTAATATTAAGAACATGTAACCAGAGAGGAAATGGAGAGTGGACACAAGGAGTCGGACAAAACAGAGACGTTATGGGTGGGACAATAATAAGGTGTTGTGACAGAAAGAGGACACAAGGACACACTAGGGGTGGGACCAGGACACACACTAGGGGTGGGACCAGGACACACTAGGGGTGTGACCAGGACACACTAGGGGTGGGACCAGGACACACACTAGGGGTGGGACCAGGACACACTAGGGGTGTGACCAGGACACACTAGGGGTGGGACCAGGACACACACTAGGGGTGGGACCAGGACACACTAGGGGTGGGACCAGGACACACACTAGGGGTGGGACCAGGACACACTAGGGGTGGGACCAGGACACACTAGGGGTGTGACCAGGACACACTAGGGGTGGGACCAGAACACACTAGGGGTGTGACCAGGACACACTAGGGGTGGGACCAGGACACACACTAGGGGTAGGACCAGGACACACTAGGGGTGTGACCAGGACACACACTAGGGGTGGGACCAGTACACACACTAGGGGTGTGACCAGGACACACTAGGGATGGGACCAGGACACACTAGGGGTGTGACCAGGACACACTAGGGGTGGGACCAGGACACACTAGGGGTGGGACCAGGACACACTAGGGGTGGGACCAGGACACACTAGGGGTGGGACCAGGACACACTAGGGGTGTGACCAGGACACACTAGGGGTGGGACCAGGACACACTAGGGGTGTGACCAGGACACACTAGGGGTGGGACCAGGACACACTATGGGGTGTGACCAGGACACACTAGGGGTGGGACCAGGACACACTAGGGGTGGGACCAGGACACACTAGGGGTGGGACCAGGACACACTAGGCGTGGGACCAGGACACACTAGGGGTGTGACCAGGACACACTAGGGGTGGGACCAGGACACACTAGGGGTGTGACCAGGACACACTAGGGGTGGGACCAGGACACACTAGGGGTGTGACCAGGACACACACTAGGGGTGGGACCAGTACACACACTTGGGGTGTGACCAGGACACACTAGGGGTGGGACCAGGACACACACTAGGGGTAGGACCAGGACACACTAGGGGTGTGACCAGGACACACACTAGGGGTGGGACCAGTACACACACTAGGGTGTGACCAGGACACACTAGGGATGGGACCAGGACACACTAGGGGTGTGACCAGGACACACTAGGGGTGGGACCAGGACACACTAGGGGTGGGACCAGGACACACTAGGGGTGGGACCAGGACACACTAGGGGTGGGACCAGGACACACACTAGGGGTGTGACCAGGACACACTAGGGATGGGACCAGGACACACTAGGGGTGTGACCAGGACACACTAGGGGTGGGACCAGGACACACTAGGGGTGGGACCAGGACACACTAGGGGTGGGACCAGGACACACTAGGGGTGGGACCAGGACACACTAGGGGTGTGACCAGGACATACTAAGGGTGGGACCAGAACACACTAGGGGTGTGACCAGGACACACTAGGGGTTGGACCAGGACACACTAGGGGTGGGACCTGGACACACTAGGGGTGGGACCAGGACACACTAGGGATATGACCAGGACCCACTAGGGGTGGGACCAGGACACACTAGGGGTGGGACCAGGACACACTAGGGGTGGGACCAGGACACACTAGGGGTGGGACCAGGACACACTAGGGGTGGGACCAGGACACACTAGGGGTGGGACCAGGACACACTAGGGGTGTGACCAGGACACACTAGGGGTGGGACCAGGACACACTAGGGGTGTGACCAGGACACACTAGGGGTGGGACCAGGACACACTAGGGGTGGGACCAGGACACACTAGGGGTGGGACCAGGACACACTAGGGGTGGGACAAGGACACACTAGGGGTGGGACCAGGACACACACTAGGGGTGTGACCAGGACACACTAGGGATGGGACCAGGACACACTAGGGGTGTGACCAGGACACACTAGGGGTGGGACCAGGACACACTAGGGGTGGGACCAGGACACACTAGGGGTGGGACCAGGACACACTAGGGGTGGGACCAGGACACACTAGGGGTGTGACCAGGACATACTAAGGGTGGGACCAGAACACACAGGGGGTGTGACCAGGACACACTAGGGGTGGGACCAGGACACACTAGGGGTGGGACCAGGACACACTAGGGGTGGGACCAGGACACACTAGGGATATGACCAGGACCCACTAGGGGTGGGACCAGAACACACTAGGGGTGGGACCAGGACACACTAGGGGGTGGGACCAGGACACACTAGGGGTGGGACCAGGACACACTAGGGGTGGGACCAGGACACACTAGGGGTGGGACCAGGACACACTAGGGGTGGGACCAGGACACACTAGAGGTGGGACCAGGACACACTAGGGGTGGGACCAGGACACACTAGGGGTGGGACCAGGACACACTAGAGGTGGGACCAGGACACACTAGGGGTGGGACCAGGACATACTAAGGGTGGGACCAGAACACACTTGGGGTGGGACCAGGACACACACTAGGGGTGGGACCAGGACATTCTAAGGGTGGGACCAGAGCACACTAGGGGTGGGACCAGGACACACTAGGGGTGGGATCAGGACACACTAGGGGTGGGACCAGGGCACACTAGGGGTGGGACCAGGATACACTAGGGGTGAGACCAGGACACACTACGGGTGGGACCAGGACATACTAGGGGTGGGACCAGGACACACTAGGGGTGTGACCAGGACACACACTAGGGGTGGGACCAGGATACACTAGGGGTGGGACCAGGACACACTAGGGGTGGGACCAGGACACACTAGGGGTGGGACCAGTACACACTAGGTGTGGGACCAGTACACACTACGGGTGGGACCAGTACACACTAGGGGTGGGACCAGTACACACCAGGGTGGGACCAGGACACACTAGGGGTGTGACCAGGACACACACTAGGGGTGGGACCAGGATACACTAGGGGTGGGACCAGGACACACTACGGGTGGGACCAGTACACACTAGGGGTGGGACCAGTACACACCAGGGTGGGACCAGGACACACTAGGAGTGTGACCAGGACACACACTAAGGGTGGGACCAGAACACACTAGGGGTGTGACCAGTACACACTAGGGGTGGGACCAGTACACACTAGGGGTGTGACCAGGACACACACTAGGGGTGTGACAAGGACACACACTAGGGGTGGGACCAGTAAACACACTAGGGGTGTGACCAGGACACACACTAGGGGTGAGACCAGTACACACTAGGAGTGTGACCAGGACACACTAGAGGTATGACCAGGACATACTAAGGGTGGGACCAGAACACACTAGGGGTGGGACCAGGACACACTAGGGTGGGACCAGGACACACTAGGGTGGGACCAGGACACACTAGGGGTGGGACCAGGACACACTAGGGGTGGGACCAGGACACACTAGGGGTGGGACCAGGACACACTAGGGGTGGGACCAGTACACACTACAGGTGAGACAAGGACACACTACGATGGGACCAGTACACACTAGGGGGGGACCAGTACACACTAGGGGTGGGACCAGGACACACTAGGGGTGGGACCAGGACACACTAGGGGTGAGACCAGGACACACTAGGATGGGACCAGTACACACTAGGGGTGGGACCAGTACACACTAGGGGTGGGACCAGGACACACTAGGGGTGGGACCAAGACACACTAGGGTGGGACCAAGACACACTAGGGGTGGGACCAGGACACACTAGGGGTGGGACCAGGACACACTAGGGGTGAGACCAGGACACACTAGGATGGGACCAGTACACACTAGGGGTGGGACCAGTACACACTAGGGGTGGGACCAGGACACACTAGGGGTGGGACCAAGACACACGAGGGTGGGACCAAGACACACTAGGGGTGGGACCAGGACACACTAGGGGTGGGACCAGGACACACTAGGGGGGGACCAGTACACACTAGGGGTGGGACCAGGACACACTAGGGGTGGGACCAGGACACACTAGGGGTGGGACCAGGACACACTAGGGGTGGGACCAGGACACACTTGGGGTGAGACCAGGACACACTAGGATGGGACCAGTACACACTAGGGGTGGGACCAGGACACACTAGGGGTTGGACCAGGACACACTAGGGGTAGGCCCAGGACACACTAGGGTTAGGACCAGGACACACTAGGGGTAGGCCCAGGAAACACTAGGGGTAGGACCAGGACACACTAGGGGTAGGCCCAGGACACACTAGGGGTAGGACCAGGACACACTAGGGGTAGGCCCAGGACACACTAGGGGTAGGACCAGGACACACTAGGGGTAGGACCAGGACACACTAGGGGTAGGACCAGGACACACTAGGGGTAGGACCAGGACACACTAGGGGTGAACATACTCTATATTCTTAACCCATGAAGCCAAACACACACCTGGACCACAGCCACAATAAGGACAACATGGCCATACACACACCTGGACCACAGCCACAATAGGGACAACATGGCCATACACACACCTGGACCACAGCCACAATAAGGGCAACATGGCCATACACACACCTGGACCACAGCCACAATAAGGGCAACATGGCCATACACACACCTGGACCACGGCCACAATAAGGACAACATGGCCATACACACACCTGGACCACGGCCACAATAAGGGCAACATGGCCATACACACACCTGGACCACGGCCACAATAAGGACAACATGGCCATACACACACCTGGACCACAGCCACAATAAGGACAACATGGCCATACACACACCTGGACCACAGCCACAATAAGGGCAACATGGCCATACACACACCTGGACCACGGCCACAATAAGGACAACATGGCCATACACACACCTGGACCACGGCCACAATAAGGACAACATGGCCATACACACACCTGGACCACGGCCACAATAAGGACAACATGGCCATACACACACCTGGACCACAGCCACAATAAGGGCAACATGGCCATACACACACCTGGACCACAGCCACAATAAGGACAACATGGCCATACACACACCTGGACCACAGCCACAATAAGGGCAACATGGCCATACACACACCTGGACCACGGCCACAATAAGGGCAACATGGCCATACACACACCTGGACCACGGCCACAATAAAGGCAACATGGCCATACACACACCTGGACCACGGCCACAATAAGGACAACATGGCCATACACACACCTGGACCACAGCCACAATAAGGACAACATGGCCATACACACACCTGGACCACGGCCACAATAAGGACAACATGGCCATACACACACCTGGACCACAGCCACAATAAGGGCAACATGGCCATACACACACCTGGACCACACCTGGCCACAATACAGGGCAACATGGCCATACACACACCTGGACCACGGCCACAATAAAGGCAACATGGCCATACACACACCTGGACCACAGCCACAATAAGGGCAACATGGCCATACACACACCTGGACCACAGCCACAATAAGGGGGCAACAACATGGCCATACACACACCTGGACCACGGCCACAATAAGGAAGGGCAACATGGCCATACACACACCTGGACCACGGCCACAATAAGGGCAACATGGCCATACACATACCTGGACCACAGCCACAATAAGGGCAACATGGCCATACACACACCTGGACCACGGCCACAATAAGGACAACATGGCCATACACACACCTGGACCACAGCCACAATAAGGGCAACATGGCCATACACACACCTGGACCACAGCCACAATAAGGACAACATGGCCATACACACACCTGGACCACAGCCACAATAAGGGCAACATGGCCATACACACACCTGGACCACAGCCACAATAAGGGCAACATGGCCATACACACACCTGGACCACGGCCACAATAAGGGCAACATGGCCATACACACACCTGGACCACGGCCACAATAAGGAAGGGCAACATGGCCATACACACACCTGGACCACGGCCACAATAAGGGCAACATGGCCATACACACACCTGGACCACAGCCACAATAAGGACAACATGGCCATACACACACCTGGACCACGGCCACAATAAGGGCAACATGGCCATACACACACCTGGACCACAGCCACGATAAGGGCAACATGGCCATACACACACCTGGACCACGGCCACAATAAGGGCAACATGGCCATACACACACCTGGACCACAGCCACAATAAGGACAACATGGCCATACACACACCTGGACCACGGCCACAATAAGGAAGGGCAACATGGCCATACACACACCTGGACCACAGCCACAATAAGGACAACATGGCCATACACACACCTGGACCACGGCCACAATAAGGACAACATGGCCATACACACACCTGGACCACAGCCACAATAAGGACAACATGGCTATACACACACCTGGACCACGGCCACAATAAGGGCAACATGGCACATACCACACCACCTGGCCATACACACACGGCCACAATAAAGGACAACATGGCCATACACACACCTGGCAACATGGCCATACACACACCTGGACCACAGCCACAATAAGGGCAACATGGCCATACACACACCTGGACCACAGCCACAATAAGGACAACATGGCCATACACACACCTGGACCACAATAAGGAAGGGCAACATGGCCATACACACACCTGGACCACAGCCACAATAAGGGCAACATGGCCATACACACACCTGGACCACAGCCACAATAAGGGCAACATGGCCATACACACACCTGGACCACGGCCACAATAAGGGCAACATGGCCATACACACACCTGGACCACGGCCACAATAAAGGCAACATGGCCATACACACACCTGGACCACAGCCACAATAAGGGCAACATGGCCATACACACACCTGGACCACGGCCACAATAAAGGCAACATGGCCATACACACACCTGGACCACGGCCACAATAAGGGCAACATGGCCATACACACACCTGGACCACGGCCACAATAAGGGCAACATGGCCATACACACACCTGGACCACAGCCACAATAAGGGCAACATGGCCATACACACACCTGGACCACAGCCACAATAAGGGCAACATGGCCATACACACACCTGGACCACGGCCACAATAAAGGCAACATGGCCATACACACACCTGGACCACGGCCACAATAAGGAAGGGCAACATGGCCATACACACACCTGGACCACGGCCACAATAAGGGCAACATGGCCATACACACACCTGGACCACAGCCACAATAAGGACAACATGGCCATACACACACCTGGACCACAGCCACGATAAGGACAACATGGCCATACACACACCTGGACCACAGCCACAATAAGGACAACATGGCCATACACACACCTGGACCACGGCCACAATAAGGAAGGGCAACATGGCCATACACACACCTGGACCACGGCCACAATAAGGAAGGGCAACATGGCCATAAACACACCTGGACCACAGCCACAATAAGGACAACATGGCCATACACACACCTGGACCACGGCCACAATAAGGACAACAGGCCATACACACACCTGGACCACAGCCACAATAAGGGCAACATGGCCATACACACACCTGGACCACGGCCACAATAAGGGCAACATGGCCATACACACACCTGGACCACGGTCTCAATAAAGGCAACATGGCCATACACACACCTGGACCACAGCCACAATAAGGGCAACATGGCCATACACACACCTGGACCACGGCCACAATAAAGGCAACATGGCCATACACACACCTGGACCACGGCCACAATAAGGGCAACATGGCCATACACACACCTGGACCACGGCCACAATAAAGGCAACATGGCCATACACACACCTGGACCACAGCCACAATAAGGGCAACATGGCCATACACACACCTGGACCACAGCCACAATAAGGGCAACATGGCCATACACACACCTGGACCACGGCCACAATAAAGGCAACATGGCCATACACACACCTGGACCACGGCCACAATAAGGAAGGGCAACATGGCCATACACACACCTGGACCACGGCCACAATAAGGGCAACATGGCCATACACACACCTGGACCACAGCCACAATAAGGACAACATGGCCATACACACACCTGGACCACAGCCACGATAAGGACAACATGGCCATACACACACCTGGACCACAGCCACAATAAGGACAACATGGCCATACACACACCTGGACCACGGCCACAATAAGGAAGGGCAACATGGCCATACACACACCTGGACCACGGCCACAATAAGGAAGGGCAACATGGCCATAAACACACCTGGACCACAGCCACAATAAGGACAACATGGCCATACACACACCTGGACCACGGCCACAATAAGGACAACATGGCCATACACACACCTGGACCACAGCCACAATAAGAGTAGTGTAAAGTGCGACTAGAACCGCGCGCACCATCTGCCCAGGTGGCTCTATAGAGTCAGCTGGGCAGGTGGTGCGCAGGTGTCTAGTCGCACAGGGGTTGGGGGGAATTTTCCCGGAAGTTTGGCGCGTGTCGGACGCGTGTGAGCGTCCGGTGTTAGGGTATGTGGTCAGGAAAGATGGGAGGTCATGTTGTTGCGGGTGTAGGAGAGTATGTGGGTTATGTGGTAGAGTAAGAAATACAAGGATAAGAGTGGAAAGAGGAGGGGAAGATAAGTATGTGGGCATGTGTACATCATCTCTTAGGTTTCCCGGATGTTATGACGCGTGGCTTCCGGCCAGGCGTCACTTGAGAGAGTCATGTTGGGTAGGGGCTGGAAGCTAAGTGGATGGTATGTGGTCATGTAGGGAGGAGGAGGAGTATGTAGGTTATTTTGTGAAGGGAGGGGGGAGCCCCCATACCTGAGAGGATATCAATGACGTCCATTAGTTCTCCCCCTACATGGGCAGGAAGTGTTGAGGGGAGCGTGAGAGCCGGGTCTTAAGATTGGAGGGGGAGAAGGAGGGGAAAGGGAGGTAACAGCTGGCCGTGGGTTTGTGTGTGAAAGTAGTCATTATTTTTTCTTAAAGAATGACAGTTTTATGTACCCTCCCTGCTTCCAGAGCGCTAAGGATATGTGGGCTATACCTACCACGTAGCTATGAGGAGTGACACCACATGTCCACATGGGTTACCTCTTCAAAGGCTGAGGTCTAACTGTTGCGAATGTCATCATCAACCTCTAACATAGTCAGTCAGTCATACCACCCCCCCTCCCCCCTCCCCCCCCCTCCATCCACATAGCAGGACATAGCCACATACCATCACCACCACCACACTGCTGGGAGTGACAGCAATATGGCATACCATACTCTCTCATGACACAGCTCTCACCGGCACATAGCGTTGAGTGTGACAATGTTCTTTCTCAAAGGTGAGCCATGAGCGCCTCATACAAATTCCAAAATGCAGTCCTGGGAGTTTGACACACATTGATTAACAAGCTATCTGATTATTTATACAGCTTCTCGCTCTCTACATTATATGCGGGTTACATAGTGTGTCAAGAACTCTCTCTCTCTATGTCTCCCTCTCTCTGTCTCTCTGTCTCTCTGTCTCTCTCTCTCTCTCTCTCTCTAT